CTCTGCGGTTTTCATTGGCCTGGAGACCCGGACGTCCTCGGGGCTGAGGACCTCCCTCATCTTGGCGGCCAGAGCGTCCGCCTTTTCGGCACTGCCACTCGTAGTACCAGCCACCTCGAACAACCGTGCACCCGTGGCAGCCTGCCTGTGGGTGACGGCCTGAAGACCAAGATCTGATAATTTGATCTTGGCCTTTGCTTCGGCGATGACCGACTGGTACGTTACGCCGCGCTCCGCAGCTCCGGGCTGTAGCGTGAGCGTCACAGCTTCGGAACGCGGAGCACGTATCTCCGGTCCTTTGCGACCGCCTTTGGCAGCCCGCCGCGCAGGCTGCGCAACCGCCTTTGCGGTTTGGCCGGGGGCATGCGTTGCTGCTGAGGCCGCCTTGGCGACCCTGCGTGCCTTCTTGCGGCCCACGACTGTAACCCAGGTCTCACCCTTAGACCCAGCAGTCGTGGGCTGATCGCTCGATGGGGCTCCCTCGACGGGCTTTTTAACACCCTCCGCGGGCTTCCCCTCCCTAGGCTTAGGTCTCGGCGGCTCCTCAGCCCTCCGCCGTGTATCGGCCGCTAGTGGCGGACGGAGGATTTCCGCAGGGAGGCGCCGAGAAATTGCCTCCATACGAGCATTGACCATGCTCCCGCACTGGAGCATACAGAGCCGGACAATGCGCTCGACCTCGTCGTCGGTATGAGTGCTTGTCGGTCTCGGTGCGGGAGCCGGGGCCACTACCGATGCGGCATCAGTGGACGTACGCCGCTGCTGCTGCTCGCTCAACGCAGTGACTCGTCGCCGGAGGTCCTCCATATCATTTCGGAGACGGCTGTTTTCCTCCTGCAACTTCGCAACCTCGTCAGAGGCCGTCCTGTTGAGGAGGATGCCAATCGCCTCCTTAATGTCCGCGGCAGCTTCTTTCAGACCGCGGGTAAACGTGCCCTTAAGGCTGCCGGATTTGGTGGCAACCTTCAGGACTAAGTCCACCCCGTCCAAGGCAAGCTGACTTAGGGCCACCGCAGATGGTTCCCCCCCTTCCGCCGCTAGAGTAGCGCGTCGCTCGCGAGCGCGTCGGGCCATTTCCGACACTTCGTCGGCCGCGACAGCTTTGCGCTGCTCTCTTCGGGCGGCGTTGATCTCCGCCTTTGAGCTCTCTAGCGAGGCACAGCTCTCGCCACCAGGGTCCTCGGTAGTGACCCCCATGTCACTATCTGCTTTGCTGGCAGCCGGAGTATTGGAGCACACGAACCTACCCTGTGCGTTCCTCCGCGGCCGTGAAGCACTCACTCCTCTCGAAGCCTGCCGACCTCTCCTCGTGGTCGGTAATTTCTTGGGGGGCAGCAAGCCTTCCTCATCTGAGGACAGATCCACCGACCCATCTCCCACTGGAGCATTGTCGCGTGAGCGTTTTCTAACGGAAGACGACCCACGCGGTCCTCCGTCAATATTTTCAAAATAACTGCTTCCAGTAATATTATCAGCAACAGGGGCCTGGTCGCCTACTCCTGCGCGTCCATCGGTAACCAATTTATCACTCGCAGGCCCGGGTACCTGCGAGCGCCGGGCGTCAGCCGGGTCGCATGACAAATCTCTCTCATAGTTAGCCATTTTCATATTAAAGAANCTAACCTAACCTAACCTAACCTAACCTAACCTAACCTAACCTAACCTAACCTAACCTAACCTAACCTAACCTAACCTAACCTAACCTAACCTAACCTAACCTAACCTAACCTAACCTAACCTAACCTAACCTAACCTAACCTAACCTAACCTAACCTAACCTAACCTAACCTAACCTAACCTAACCTAACCTAACCTAACCTAACCTAACCTAACCTAACCTAACCTAACCTAACCTAACCTAACCTAACCTAACCTAACCTAACCTAACCTAACCTAACCTAACCTAACCTAACCTAACCTAACCTAACCTAACCTAACCTAACCTAACCTAACCTAACCTAACCTAACCTAACCTAACCTAACCTAACCTAACCTAACCTAACCTAACCTAACCTAACCTAACCTAACCTAACCTAACCTAACCTAACCTAACCTAACCTAACCTAACCTAACCTAACCTAACCTAACCTAACCTAACCTAACCTAACCTAACCTAACCTAACCTAACCTAACCTAACCTAACCTAACCTAACCTAACCTAACCTAACCTAACCTAACCTAACCTAACCTAACCCCCAGTCTGCTGGCAGCCACCGCCGCGAACGCCACGTTTTTGTGCCGCTCCGCGTCTAAAAATCTAAAAAAGTGAAAAGTTCTATCGGATTACAGTGAAAGTGGTGTTGAAAGAAGCGGAAAGTTGTGAGAAACTCATTAGTGAAAACCGCATGACCCGGTGACCACGGGAACAAAAGTTATCGTGAAAAAACCGAGGAAACCCACGTGGTCACAACACAAAGTGGCGTGCGCCGCCCGATTTTTATCGATGAGGTGGACTTTTTCAAGTGTACTTTTAAAGGTCCTAGTGTCATACACCTTCCACCCGATTTTCAGATTTTTCCAGTGGAAACTGACGGAGTTACACTCGTTAAAGTGGAAACCACGTGGCCATGTGGTCCCCCTTCCACTGGGAGTTGAACGAAGTTAACTACCTCTAAAGATAGCCCAGAGAGCCTCTTCCAAAAGACCGTTTGGACCTTCACCATATCTCACTCCATGACGAAGATATAAAAAATTTACTAAAAAGGTGCGCAATGTCTCAACTTTCGACACAAATAAATCGGGAATAAGATCTGTAACCCCCCCTTTTTCCTAGTGTAGGACGTGGCTGGAATCATTTCCAACACCTCCACAAAAATCCAGATTTTTATTCCCAGGGGTTACTTAGTTACAGACATTTCTTCCTATTCGTGTTGAAAGCGCAACGGGAGTGAAGGAGAAAGGAATATCGTCTATCTCAACGGGTGGCCAGTTGTCAACAACAAGGTGGCGTAGGCTACGTCACACAAATCGGAACGCAGCGTAGACCTCGTAGCCGAGCAGCGTAGCGTGGCGTAGCAGCCGTCGTAGCGCAGCCGCCGGTCACCGCGAGGAGATATTGCGTGGAAGTTCGCGTGCCGATAAGTGACCGTTTGGGTTTTTGTACGATTAGATGGCAGGACAAAATAAATATAATTTAATGATTGTAAAAAATATTTGAACAGACTACACGCTGCGGCCGCGTGATAGTTGTTTACGCGCAAACCGAGTGACCGGACCGCGCGCTCAAGGTCATTGTCGTTGAGTGTTGTTCTTGTTTGTCTCTTTTCGTGTTTGTTCTGTATATAATACAATACATATATTTCATTTTTCCAAATTTAGAGATTTTGGCCATTAATTTATTTAT